GATGAATTTGAGCAGGAGCATATATATATATATATATATATATATATATAATGGTGGCTCTAAACGGGACCCTAGTGAAATGTGTACTATGCGAGCTATAAAAAGAAGCACAATACCATACAACGGTAACTCTAAGCAGGCAAAATAAAAATTACAATTGCGTTTTTCGGTCCCTATGACTCCCTTCACAGTTACAATAATTGTTTTGGAGAGAAACATAACAACCTGAAACATTGCGGGGAAGTAGGAACAACCAAACGGAGCATGCACTTGCAAAGCATACCGAGTGAGGGAGGTTTGGATTCTGTTTGCCCTCTGTAGGTGGCGGCGGCTCGGGTGTAGTAGCGGGAATACCCTCAAGGACCTGTTCTGCATAACTGCATGTACAGGCAGACGGAATCACAGAGAGGGAAAAGGGGTTGAATCTCACTAAGCTGTGCATAACTGTGCCTTGAAACGGAAATATAGGAAAACATACATTAAGATAACTGGAATAGGAGGAACTAAATGGCAGCTTTTCGTAAGACGGCAGAGCATAAAGGCTGCTGTCCAAGCATTGCCCACGAAAAAGGCACCCATACACAAGCACGCTGAGCGGAATTCAATGGGCTGCCTAGCGGGTAGATAATTACAAGCAAAACCTTCCTGTCTAACAAACCAGTGAGACAGGCGACAAAAACACACCTCTTGAAGTTTGGGTCTGCACAAAAGGAACAAGCACATACGGCAAAGCTGGTGCAAACAGCATCAAAGCCACAAGCTCTACATTAGTTTGGGCAGATAGCCTCTAGGGTCAACTAGAGCATCTGCTACACACATAGGTATTCCAAAGCCAAACCACAGCTGGAAAAAGGGTCAGCATCCGGGTTATAGCAAGCTCTGCGGACAGCTTACTTCTGCTGAATTCAGGCAGCCTTCTGAGTCGTTCTTGGAGCTCGACTTCTTCTCGGGAACGGGTGTCGACCTCCCTCTCACGAACTCCGCCCTCTGTGATCTCCGCCTGGTAGACGGAGGACCTTACGAAATGCATTTTGGCTAAGGCTGTATTATACACCTCAACGTGTGCTTTACTGTATACACGAACAACAGCCGTATTCGCACTGCTGCCTCGGCTCTTGCAGGTCTACCTCCGCAAGCGATGCGTTTATACACATATGAGGATGCTTGCCAACCACCGTACAGATAGAGGCGGCAAAACACTGCTATGAAGGCCTTTCTTCAACAATAAATGTATTCAGAGGTTCGTAGTAGTAGTCTGTTAGTAGTAGTAGTCTGCTGTAGGCACCAGGGAGGTGGCGTCGTCAAGACCCAGTAGATTGGGGTTCGCGCTGGGAAGCTTCACCGTGGCGTGAGGAGCTAACTTATTAGACGAGATGTTTCAAAGGTATTTAAAATAGGCATTTGAAAAAATCACCAACGAGCGTCGACAGAAAGAGGAGGAGAGTGTGCTGAGCATGAGGCCCCATCTGGATGCAGCCATTAAGACAATCCCCCTTACTGGAGGTTCAAACATAGCAAACGATATAACAAACAAACAAAAAGGATGAAAGACGTTAACGAAAAAGAGGAATCCAGCTGCATGCGCCTCTCAAGGCCGCTACAGCCCCACGGTATCCAGCAATCAGTCTGGCGAAATACCGCAGAGGCGGCGGTGCTCAACTCGAAATGAAATGCGAAGAATAATATTGTTACTTGTTTAAATATATTTATTTTGTTTGTAATGACAACTATAAGCGTTCATTGTTTGCTTCTTCTCCTGCAACCGTCCTCTGCCCACCGCAACTCAAGCTCAACAGCGAATGTGCACGTTCACGACGGGTTGCTCCTAAACAGTGTGATATTCTCAAATGTAGCCGGAGAAATACAAATATAATTCCACAAAATCAAATAAAACTTCTTTGTAGATTCATTAAAGATTTCAACAATGGAATATTGCTCTTGCCGTACAGGCTTTCCAAGAGCTCTCGGCTCCGGCGACTCGACAGCCGTGAGTTTGTCTTGTGCATTAAATTTGGTGTATGACTCTTGGGACTTGGACTTAAGCTGTTGAGTTTACTGATAATCGCATTTCTTGCTCATTGATATAAATGAGGTTTCGTCGCCGCATGCGCCTGTCCAACCACCCTGAGGGAGGGGAGAGAAGGAGCTGAGAATCCCAATAAATTTATTTCGGTTCAAATACCTTAACAGCGCCAACGTCTCATTTTCTGCAGTCCTTCGCCCTTCGTTAAATCAGGAATGTAGCCGCTTTATAAAACAATGAATAATAACAGTGCAGTAAGTTGAACCTCTTTCTTGCGGAGATCTCGTTTCGGCTTTCGTAGATCTTTAGGCTTCAGGAGGCGATGCAGCTGCTTCTCCCTGCGTTCCTGTCTGCTTTGTCTCCTTTGCCCTTAAAGAGGCTTCCTGTACTCCCTCTCTCTCGCTTTTTTTCTGCACGCAACAACTCGAATAGTGAATGCCCATTCCGCGTGTTAGGGCTGACCCCCGACGCATCCGCTGCCGCTTTGCGCCTTCGTTACCTCCAACTGGCCAAAAAGCTCCACCCCGATGCTGCCTTTCCCGAATTTGATTCGAAGACCAGTGGTTTCATTGAGCTCAGAAAGGCGTATGAACAGGCACTGCAAATACAGAAGCAGTCGCAGTGTCTGAATAGCCCACAGAAGGAGGAGGCCTCCTCTCCGCGAACTGGAAGGGGGGAAAATTCTGCACAGGAGACAATGATTCTAAGGGAATGGGAAAGGCAGCTAAAGGAGAGGTCCGAGTTCTGGGCCAAGGCTAAACATGCAGAACAACGGAGGGCTGCATCGGGGGAAGATGTCTTTTACCAACAGCAAATGCTCGAACGCTTTCAAAGCAAACTTGCAATGGAAAAAAAGTGCAGGGAATTTAAAAACACCATAAATGAACACCAAAAGGATGAGGATGTGTTGGAGGCAGCAGCACGGGAAAAGGCAGAAGCAGAAGCGTGGGAAGAACATCAAAAGGAACTGCGCGCCTTCGGCTTAGAGACAAATAGGAGCAGCTGGGCAACAGAATACCTCTACACAAAACCAGCCGACAAGCTGTCAAAGTCAGGGGAGTGGATCTCACGAGAAGCCAACAAGCAAAACGGATGGAAAGGAAGACACTGGAAGCCAGTTGTAGCAGCTGGTGCTCTTCTCGTGGTGGTAGCAGCGGCCACAGGGAGGTTTTATAACAGAGAGGAATGTCCAGAAAAGGCTTGCTGAGGGCTTCTTACTACAAGAAAGATATTAGAATGGCTGTTACATACTGCGAATGTATATATAGAATATATAATTGCATCGACTAGTGTACTTTAGCTTGGTGCTGGGCTGTGTAATTAGGGGAGTAACGCTGCGAATTGGCATTTTAACAAATATTAGAGAAGCAAACGCGATTTGGGAAAGTTTATCTCGTTCCGTCTGAGCACTGGAAGCTTGTTGGCACTTCCGCTCTTTTTTTCTATGTGGACAATTGCTGCTCTTTTGGGAAAAGGAAAAGCTGTGATGCAATTTTGTGTGGACCTAAATATGTTTTCAAATTCCGTATTTGGTTATTGTGTGGCAAAGCATTGCCTTCGGCTTGGACTCAGCTTACGAAAACACACATAAAAAATAAGAATTAAATGAAAAGAAACAATGCATTTTTTTTAAGAGAACCTCCCACTCCAACTATATAACCGCATTTCGTGTAAGTGCAATGCGGAGAGGGGAGTTCGTGAAACAGTTTCAAAATAAAAAAAGATGAAAGAGTTAATAAAAGGCGACTCAACTGAGTTTCCTTTGGTGGCTTTACACCGCAGACTTTTAGCAAACTCATTTTTTTCGGTATTTTGACTTCCCTCGTGCGCGTAGTAGCTGTATGGTTTTATATTCAATTGCTGTGTTTCATCCTGTTTTACCCTGCTTTGTTCTTCTTTGAATTGACCATCAGTACACTCTATCTTTTTCTGCCGTATTATATTGTTCATTTCTATCCGTTGAAGGAGTTCGTTCATGCCCGAGAAGAGAGGGAGGCTTTTAACGTCTTCACCTTCTCCTTCTCCTCCCACCAGAACGGCCGGCCCTTCTCGGTCTTCTGTTTCTTTGCCGTCTTTGCCCAGCCCTTCTGGCGGTCCTGCTTTTCGTTTTATTCCTTCGCGCCTTGGATTTATTTTTTGCCGTCGCGTTTGTCTTTTTCTTGGTCTTTTTGCTCTGTGTTGCCTTCTGCTTGGCGCCTTTCTTGCTGGGTTTGTTGGTAGCGGTGTTAGGCTTATTAGCTCCCTTTTCTTTCTTCGTTGCTGCTTTTTCTTTGTTTGCTGCTCCTTTCTCTTGCTTTGCCGTTTTGCTCGCTTTCTCTTTCCCTCCTGCCTTCTCCTTTTTCTGCCCTGCTTTTGCTCCTCCTTTTTCTGCCTTTGCCCCTCCACTTGCTGCTGCCGTCTTGTCTTTTCCTGCTGCTTTCTCTGCTTTCTTTTGCTCTTTTCCCGCCGCCTTATCTGCTGTCTTTTCCTTTGCTGTGCCTTTGTCTGCTGCTTTTCCCTTTGCTGATCCCTTTTCTGTTGCAGTTCCCTTTCCTGATGCTTTACCTGCAGACTTCTCTTTTGCTGCTCCCGCTGTGCCAGCTGCCTTGTCCGTTGCTGCGGCTTTGTCAGCTGACTTGTCTTTTGCTGCGGCTTTGTCAGCTGCCTTGCCTTTTGCTGCCGCCTTATCAGCTGCCTTGTCTTTTGTTGCCGCTTTATCAGCTGTCTTGTCTTTTGCTGCCGCCTTATCTGCTTTCTTTTCTTTGCCACCAGCCTTATTCTCTGCTTTCTTTTCTTTTGCTGCTGTACCTGCCTTTTCTGTCTTACTTTGTTTTCCTGCCGCCTTGTCAGCTGTCTTCTCCTTTGCTGCTCCCTTTTCTTTTGCTTTCCCCTCTTTGGCTGCTGACTTGTCTGCTTTCTTTTCTGTTTTGCCCCCTGTTTTATCTGCTCCGTTTTGCTTCCCTGCTGCTGCGTCTGCACCCTTGTCTTTACCAGCAGACTTCTCCCCCTTTGCTGCTGCTTTGCTGTCTGCTTTGTTTCCTGTCTTGTTTGCCTTCTCGCCTTTGTCTGCTGCCGACTTTTGCGATTTATCACCTCCCTTTGGCTGTTTGTCTCCCTTGGCCGCTTTCTTTTCCCCTGCATCTTTCCCTCCTTTGTTTGACTCTTTTCCCGAAGACTTACCGCCGTCCCCCCCTTTGCTGTCTTTTCCTCCTTTCTCTTGTTTCTCTTTCTTGTTCCCCTTCGCCTCTGTCTTTCCGCCCCCTCCCTTTGCACTTTCTTTTTTCTCCTTTTTTTCTTTTTTATCTTGACCGCCTCCTCCAGATTTCTCGCTTTTCGCCGATTTCTCTTTGCCCTTCGCCTCCCCTCCTTTCCCACCCTTTTTTGCGTTTGCTTTGTCTGCGCTTTTGCCTTCGCCTTTTGCCTCTTTTGGTTTGGCTCCTTCCTTCTGAGCCTGTTTTTCATCTTTCTGTTTGGCGTCTTTCTCTTTCTGTTTGGCCTCTTTTTCTGCCTTTTTCTCTTCCTTTTCCTTTTGCTTCTCCTCTTTTGCTGCTTTCTTCGCCTCCTTCTCCTCTCGCTTGCGGTCTTTTTCTTCTTGTTCTCGTCTCCGCTTTGCTTCCTCCTTGGCTGCCTCTTTTGCATACTTCCTAGAATAGTCGTCGTAGTGTTGATCATAAGAGCTTGAACCCCCATAGCCCCCGTATCCCCCATAGCCCCCATAGCCTCCATAGCCCCCATAGCCTCCATAGCCCCCGTACATTCCTGAACCTCCATAGAGGCTGGTGGTTCCATAGGGTCCATAACTTCCGTAGGGATCGTAGTAAGAGGAGCCCATCCCTGGACCGTAGCCGTTATAGTAGCCCCCCCCATAGGCCCCCATGGCGCCTGTGTGGCCCATAGCTGTGGCACCCATATATGTGCCTGGCATGTAGCCCATGTCGGAGTAGCCAGCCATGCTGCCTTCCGCCATTCCCCCTGCAACGGGGGAATCAAAGGGGTCTGTGCCGGCAGTTTCCCCTTCGTCGAGATCGAGTTCGCTGTCGTCTTCAGAAGAAGGGCTCGAGCTAGGATCCCCTGGAGGTGCGGCCTCTGGAGGCGTGTCGGGTTTGTAGTCTCCTGGGCTGTAGTCCGTTGCCGCCACCGCTTGGGCCTGAGCCTGCGCACCTGTTGTATGTGGAGAGGTGCCGGGGGAGGGCTGAACAACGGCTTGCTGTTGCTGCTGCTGTTGTTGTTGTGGGGTAGGTGCAGCTGTAGGTTTTGTAGGGGGGGGCAGCACCAACTTTCCGTAGCCTTCTTGCATCAATTCGGTAGCTGGATAAATCGACTTCTTCTCTCCCTCGGAATCCATCTGCACAAATACACCTCTTGACACTGGGCTGTCTGTTGTATACAGACGATGGGTGGAGGACCCACCAACAGCACTATTGCCATTGTCTTTGTCTCCTTGAACAAATCGGGCTCTTGTAGACTCTGCTTCGGTGTTAGGGCCCCCACTTCTTTTTGCCCCCTCTGAAATCTCGAAGGGGTAGCTATGCCGTGAAATCGCAGCCAAGCGGCTGGGTGGCAGGCGGGAAGAAGAAGCGACTTGATGGCTACTAGAAACACTGGCAAAACTTGTTTGCTCTGGATTGCCGATCTGCTCCTTCGACTTGCTTGCGTTTCCCAGCCCAGGAGAGAAAGAGAATAGGCTAGTGGCTGCTCTAAAGGAGGCTCTGGGCCTGATGCGAATTAACCGGAACTGCAGGGGAAGAGAAGTCTCATTTGCGTTATCGTGCTGAGGGTGAACAACCAACGACTCCTGTGGTGCCTCTCCTTCGGCGCCTTGTTTGCGCCGGTACCTAGGGACGATGCGCCCATGGCCCCGTAAAAGGATTTCTGCAATAATACAAACAGCAAAAGGAAGGACATTAGCTACGGAGCATGCAGACTTGAAGATCAGGCGATTGTACTGCCGGGCAGAAGTGAGGAGGCACCGTTGTGGCAGCACTCTCGTGTTTCAGGTGGTGTTTATGGCGTGCACAGAGTTTCCATTGAATCCCGCATAAATACCTCATAAGGAACCCCACGTATAGCTAGTACACACAGATGCTTTGCCTGGTGTAATGCAACAATTAGAGAGGAAAGATAAGGTTAATACTTACGGCGAAGACCGGTGGCAGCGCCATCTGCTGCAGGGGGCAGGAGGGAGGCGGCGGAGGAGCAAGGGGAAGAAAAGAAGAAGGGGAGTAAAAAAAGACAGGACAATAATGCTGGCAACAATGGAAAACGTATCTTCCTGCCAGTTTGTTGCAGGTCCCTTTCTGGTGGTTGTTGTTCTTGGGGTGCAACTGCAAAGAGGGAAAGAGGAGGAGCCGCAGCAGCAGAGAGGCTGTGAGCCGATCCGTCCTCCCCCATGAGTCAGGGAAATTAATAAGATGAATCCAATTTACGGCATTCGCATTTGCGCCCGCCAGTAGAAGAGAAGGTCAGAGGAAAGATCAGCCGAATCCCGTCATCGACGCAAAAGCGGACGCTGCACATCCTCGCCCGTCGTCACCTAGGGAGAAGAAGCACTTTAGTTGCCTCCCAATTCAATGAAAACATAGATTTCAAAAATAATTGTGGGGAAACACACCATCAAAGTACAAGCTGTGGACAACTAAGCCGACGCTTAGTACCCACCGCCGACTCCAGCCAGGGCCCGCAGCGCGTACCGTTGGCGCGGGGTGAACAGAGGAAAACGTAAATTGCCGTCTTTAACTTTGTGAACGAGGAGACGAAGCATAAACTTTCTTTCAAAAGTACAACCTTTTTTAATCTGTTCAATTGGAAAGCCGCCCAACTCGCAGAGCGGGCTGCGGCTCGATGCGAGGTTAGCGCCAAACGACTTCAGTAGGACGAGGCATGCAATGAAAACTGCGGATTGCGTCCAATTTAAAAGAAAAGTACACAACTCAAGTAGTAGTGGAAGTCAGAAAAAGAAAGGTCTAGATGCTATGATGGAGCTTTTCCCCCCTTTTGCTTGCCTTTGCTGAGAATGCAAACAGACACCAATGGTGAAGTGCGCTACGGCCTTTGCAGTCTCCTCTCGTTAGAACACCGTGCCCAGATGGTTAACCTATTCTCCAGCTGTTTTTCGCATTTTTCTATTAAGTGATTGGGGTTTTTACTCCCTCCCTCCTTCTTTGGAGGCTGCTCCCCGTGAGACATATCCACAGCGATATATCTGCTGCTGGTGACGGTACCAACCGTCTTGGAATACTCCCCACGCTATTCCCTCTTTCCACCCACTGATAATATCATACTGCCTCAATCAATTCTTATGCTTAATCTCAGGGCCAGTTCCCAGTTGCACTGCCCCACTGTTGCACTGCCCCAAAAGTGTGTGAGGGTCCCTTCCTACTATGAGCAGCTAAAATTCCAAATTAACGATACTTGAGTGGCTGTATGGCGTTCTCTGCAGCAACGAGAGAGAAGCCGCCAGGGCTTCCCATTGATACGCTCCAGCGGTAGTAGTTCCAAATATCATTAGCACTTCCCTTCTTGTGAAGGTGCGTGTACGGTTGTATTCAACGTCTAAAAAATTGTGCAAATGAAACAAACCTATTCACAAAACTCCCTCGCAAGATGCAATAGAAGAAATTCAGAGGGTCTCGAGCTTGTGGCGTCTGGAGAACAAAGACCTCCGTGCAAGAGCTCGATGTCGGATACTAGCACAAACCAGCACAACAAGGCCAACGTAAACAAAATAAAAACCAAGTCTGAGACAGCCACTACCAATAACCGGTGCTGAGGCACCTTCGCACCTATTAGTTAGTGCGTCTTTACGAGTAGCGTTTGTTTGCGACGCCGTAGAAGATCAATCTGTTCAAGAAGGTATACGCAGACCCCGTTTGGTTTTCTTGAATAAAGAACTGCGCTGATGAGCACATGTGGAACTTGCTGCCCGGTAGTGCAATCCGGCGGCCCGCCAGCACATCCTCTTTTTTCAACAGAACGGAAAATGCGCATGCTTCGTCCACAACGCCGCAGAAGTTCAAATGTTGTTTGTTGCAGTATACCTGAAGAGGTCGGAAAACAGACAAAATGCATTTCAGTTAGGGCACAATGGCTGCTACACTGAAATCACTCATATTCAGCCATCATGGATCCCTAGGTACGCATATTTTTCTATCTATGAAGATGTGTTCATGCGAGGCCGAAACACTAGTAACATGCTACTGCGCATTGAGGTCTCTACCAATACTTACAAAAACATAGAGAATACAACAATGCAACACATCATATTATTTTATTCTCAGCCAGAATACAGCGCAATAGTAGTGAAGCCTCACCTTCACTACCATAGGCTCGGAGACGGAGTCTTCTTCATCGGGGTTCGTATTAAATCCCTTCGGGGGAGTTGTTGCAAAGATAGCAAAAGAAGCGAGCTGTAGAAAAATGAACACAATAACGCTCAACACAACATGATGGTGTGAAGCTTTAAAGTAATCAAGAAAAAGAAGGAATGTGGCTAACAATAAACATTTAAATGTCAACTAATCACTGCACACAGCCACTCATAGCGAAAGTGCTTGGGCACACAACGCAGTAAAGGCCTACAGCTTACTCTGACGGGTTGTTTGAAGCTGATGTTCACTAAAAGCTGCTCGTCAACATCTGATACAAGTGCGAGATTGAATTCCTTTGTTCTCAGTATTTGTTGCAGAGTCCCAATTTCTGAACCGGGGGCAGCAGCAGCTGCAGCAGCTGACGGTGTGTTGCCATCCGGTTGCTGCGCAGTACAGCCTTTCTCATTCGCTTCGGTTCCGCTTGTTGCCTGCGTCCCTGTTTTCTGCGTCTCTGATGCAGTCTCTGCTGCCGCTGTAGTTTGTTCTTGTGTATTTGCATCTACACTCGTGGAGGTCTTGTGTTCCCCCTGCGACTTCGCTGCATCAAGTTGAGCAGCACCTACGGGACCACCAGCATCAGGAGGAGGAGCAGCGGAAGTGGAAGCCACGTGGGCAGCTGGTGGCTGTCTTGCGTTGAGGGCTATGCTGCCTGAAATGTCTAAGACCTCATGTATCTCCGTTAAATCCGTCTGGCCCAGGCGGTCCTGGGGCTGCGGTAATCCCATGATTAATTAATTAATTATGTAGGCTTCGCCTCTGCTGAAGGTCTACAACTGAAGAGCAGAAGAACGCGCGGTAGGTCACCACTCCCACCAGACGAGGCCCTGACTGACGTAACAGAGTGGAGCAGCCGACGTGCAAGAGGGGCTGCCGGCAACGCAGGTGCACAGACCCTCAGATGAGAAAGGGAGCAGTCGATGCTGAGAAATATTTCTGAAAGTAGACAAGAAGAATGGAAACAAAATTAATATTCTAGCGAAATCTCCTAAAAGAGGAGGGAAATGACCGTACGTGCAGCGGCGGGGCTGGTGGACTCAGGGTCAACGACCTGACAATAATGTACAGAAACTCCGAAAAATGGATCTCTATGCGCTACCAAATTACAGTTGCAATTATTTTAATTGTATGTTCTAATGGAACGAGCCGAATAGCTGAGGAAGCAGGAATGGCAGCCCACCAACGTCGGCGACGATCGAACGCACGAGCGGGCACAGGCGGACCGCTGCATGCAGTTCAGCAGCAATGAACTGCATTTCAGCTCATAGAAGGTTCCTGCAATTTGTTTATAATATTATTTCCCCTTAGAGAAATTAGCCGTGAACGGTAACCCCCTGCCTCCCGCTGCCCCCGACACTGGGATCGCCGAGAGAGTTGCTGTCCTCTCTTTGAGACCCTGCACACTTGTAGGACGAGAAGCCAATGGAATGTTTTTTGTTAATTTTGCCCTCAGCATCATCCGTTTCCGTTGATTTGAACCCGTTTCGCTCCTCTCAACTTGCTGGTGTATTAGGGCGGCGTGCGCAAGTTACCGCTCTCTCCTTCTCGGAATGACACGGATTGATATCATTTGCCCCTGTTTTCCCCATAAGTTTACTTCCTGCCTGCAGTGTTCCATTTAGTCTTTCACTTATATTTGGCCCTTGCATTACCTTTCGTCAGCTTGCAGCTCTGATGCAGCCGTCGACTAGCTGGGCAAAACGAAACGCACACCGACTAGTTTCTGTTCCTGTCGTTGATTAGGGAGCTCAGCACCACAACTTGCGTCCTTTCCAAGCACATTTTTGTGAGGCTTACGTTTATATCCAATTGTTGTGTTATTCGCTTGTTTACCTCTGCTGGAATCTTTCCCAGAGATAGCTGCGGGAGCGCAGATGTGGACCGAACCTCTGCAGAAATTGCTCAAGAGTAGGGAGAGTGACTCCTTCGTATTTCAGTCGCACTTCTGCGTCGTAAAGAGGATATGCAGCGTGGAGTGACAAACTTCTTCCTCTCGTGTGACAAATGGAAGGCATTCAGGGGATTTTCATTTTAAAAGGAAGCAGAAATGAGAAAAAAAAGGAGTAAAATAATTCTCAAAGTTTACAAAGCATACTATACTTAGCAGATCTATTGGGATGCGGCTACCCAGTCCTGTGCGCATTGGTAAAAAGTCGATGGGTCTAAACGCACATGAAGCCCATTCCAGGAAACGGTGGAGAACGAGACACACAAGCGTTGGTATTAACATTTGGGAGCTTGCCACAATTTAGTGTTAGTACTAACTAATGTGTTGTTGCCAAAATGTTGTTAGCATGAGTAACTCAGGTACAAATAGATGCTACGTTGGAGGAACTAACGTAGCTTTCGGCGCTTGAATATTCCACCGACCTGTATGGCAGCACGCCTGCTTGCTGGTTGAATTTCTCTCATACTGAACCCCACGATTTTCGGTGTATTACGACACATTAAATAATCAGGGGAGTGGATTTTTTGTGCCGCTGTGCCTGCACGAATACAATTGTCGACACTATCTGTACAACTGGCGCTACGTTGCCCTCTGCATTTCTACACTTAGCTTAAGACTTAACGGTATTTCTGTGAGATTCAACTTCTCTACGAGTTGAACCTGTTGTTTGTTATGCATCGGGGGAAATAACGGATGCCTATGTTCGGGTAGGTAAGACTGATCATCGCAGGAGCCCACCGAGTGCTCTCTCCATTCATGTTTTCCGCCGGAGACACATAGTTCACTTCGGTTTTGTTAGTCAACCCGTTAATTCTAACTCGTAGAAGGGGTGTACTAAGGGTATCACGAATACTTTTTCTACTAACGCCCAGGCCCGACCTCCCGCCTATGGTGAGGTAGGCAGCGCAGCTACGGGAAAGTCCGGTGAAAGCTTAGAGAACTTTGGATGACCACCTTGACGTCTATATTTTCACAGGGATTTATTCAAAAATAGAAGGAAAGTGAACCCATAATATGCTCTCAATACACATGCAAGACGCGTTCGTCGTGGCCAGCTCAGTGCACACCCAAAGTGTCACGAACGTAGGTAGGACAGCTGGGATGTTCCATTTAGTAAAGTAGTCCATCAAAGTGAAGAGAACATTAAGTTTAAGGGCTTAAGATAAAAACTGAAAAAATGCAATAAATGGTACTTAAGAGGGAGGCTCAATGCCTCCGTAGACTGCTGCCCTGCGCGCCGTGGTGGGAGGCAGAAGGCCAGCGGTCTGAGGCTGCGGCTCGAGACCCTGACGCTAATATATTCATTCCCAACATGCAATCCTTAAAGTTTCAGGTTGAAAACAATGAAGTGCTGAATTTCACCCAAGATACGCTATCGTTTGCCGGTGTATTGGTACGCCCGCTTGTCGTTCACGCCTTCCCGTCGGCTGAGCGGGCTGCGTGTTTCCAGCAGAGGCTTCGGCAGCCCTGAATAGAGTTTTTGCTGTTGGATTATCTTTGTCTTCTTTATCTTTATGACTTATTTAAGGGATATCCCTCCTTGGATTCCCTTGTTGTTGGCTCTTTAGGCAGCAGATCTCACGGGCTTGGGGCCCCAGTGTTGTTTCAGAAGTTCTGTCTTCTTCGGAGGTTCGATTCGCTATTGTGAGAGCTGTTGAGTGGATGCTGAACCATACCTGGATTTTCGGATTGAATACAAATGCTGATTTCATTCTTTGGCGACACCGTGAGATTTAGCTGTCGTGTGCTTTCCTTTTCCCCGTGTGCTCAGCGAAGGGCTGGCTTGATCTGGCCGATGATGAGCTGCGACGACTCCTTTGGTCGCAGCTCACAATAGCCATGAATCCTAACAGCCCACTTAAATCCATCAATAGGTTTTCGCGGGGTCGCTCCGTTGATGATGTTTCGCTAGTCCCTGGGGTTTATAGTTGGCGCCTCCCCGGGTGGCTGCGCCTGCTGCCGCGTTCGACCTTATTATTTGAAAAAAGGTCAAGTCCCTTTCTCCAGCCATTCAAGATGTCTGTAGTGTGCCAATATAAGCACTTGCTTCACCTTCTGTGCTGGTGTCTTCTGTTTGTTTTCTTATGCTCCTCTGAACCCATTCGAACCCAACCGTTCAACCAGGGACCCTACCGCTTCTCCGCGGCGCAGCTCAGCTTAACTGGGGGCCACTCAAAAAGCACAGCAAATGCTTCCCTTTCTCTGAATACTTCGAGTGACAAGGGCGAAACACCACGCATTCCGAAAGAATCAAGCAGCAGCAGCAGCACACGGAGCCACAACAGCACGAAAAATGCCACACAACAAAAATCAGCTGTATCAGATCCCTTCTCAGCTGCGCAAATGCTCACCAGAGAAGATTACAAAACACAACTGACAGCCAAGGTGCACTTGAGGAACGTTCGCGGCCTAGAAGACGAAGCCCGAGAAATAGACTCCACAACAGAGGTAGCAGCAACCCCAACCGCAAAACCAGGACAGACGAGGAAAAGCTCCCTCAGTAGTTCACATTCCCCTGGGTCTTTCCTAAGCTATGTGGGAAACTCGCTTCTCGAGGTTTCTTCTAATGAGGCCCCTGTAGGCTCTCATCAGCCAGAGGAGGAAGAGGTCCTCCTGCAGTTGCCTACCCGTTACACTTCTGCCAGCGTACAGCCGCATTTTCCCGTATTTCCTGAATTCTTCCTAGATGAAGTAAATCTGCGGGTCAAAGAAGATGAACTAGGCGGAAAGGAACATCCTACTGAGACTTCTGCAACCGTTGTTGCTGCTGTTGGTGAAGGCCTGCATGGCAACACTGCAGGGGACTCTGCTGCCTCTTTGGTGCAGGCGTCGGCAACTGCACATGAATCTACGGAATCAGCAAAGACGAAAAAGGAGAGCGAAGAGGAAGCAGAGGAGGAGGAGGATAAGGAAGAAAGTGAGCATCCCTCAAAGACAGCCTCTGCTGAAGAAGAGGCGCTACAGACCGGGGCAGAATCAGCAGAGACGAAATCCAAACATTCACACGAGCTCCCAGAGACGGAATCAACCAAAGAAGAACCCAAACATAAAGAGGAAGAGGTCAAGGAACCTGTTACCCCTCTAGCCACACCAGCTAAGGCCCATGAGGGTGCAGCATCGCACAAGGAAGATTCAAGCATCAGCAGCAGCAGCAAACAAGCAGGCTCCAAAGCAGAGTCACAAGAGGGAGAGGAGGAAGAGCCGCAAAGCATAAAGGAAAGCCAACAAGCAACTTCACGAGCACCGACGTCAGAGAAAGAAGGAAAAAGCGAAGAGGAAAATGAAGAAGAAACCCACAAGGAACACCACCGTGCGAAAACCCGTGTAGCCGAACAGGCATCGCAGAAGGCTGGGGAGACTGCGAAAGAACACGAAGAAGGTGAAGAAAAGGAGAAAGAAGAAAAGGAGAAAGAAGAGGAAAAAGAAGAGGAAAAGGAAGAGGAAAAGGAAGAGGAAAAGGAAGAGGAAAAAGAAGAAAAGAAAGAAGAGGAAAAAGAAGAAAAGAAAGAGGAAAGCCACAAAGAAGCTCCTCGACCCGTGCAAACACTGCAGAAAGGCAAGGAGGAGGCAAAAGAAGAAGTGAAGAAAGAGGCAAAAGAAAAGACAAAAGAGGAAAAGGAGAAGGAAGAAAAAGAAAAAGAGGAAGAAAAGGAAAGACACAAAAAGGAACTGGCGGAGAAAGCAACTAGACTTGCAAACCTTCAGCGCATGGAGGTAAATAGACTTTAATCCAGTGCTGATATTACATTGTTTGCATGTCATGAGGTATTGTACCAGTATATCTAGATCCTCTTAATATGCCTGTGCCAATCTGCACTATGAGGGGTTCCTAATAAGAAACAAACACTGCAAAGGTAGCTCATATTGGCCTTATGTGGACACGATTGTAAAAACGATACCATCTAGCATTTTCGTAGTACATTCAGATGTTAGTTTTCTCTTTTCCTCCCCTACTGCATTTCCTTTTGTGTTCCTTCTCATCGTATTCGTGGGATCCTTTGTGTTTTGTTTAAGCAATTCCCTCTCTTCTGTTTGCTGCGTTATCACCCCCTACGCCTTTTCGTTTTCCCTGTGCTACTTCATACTGTGTATTGGATGCGTACTTACTTATGTGTGCCTAAATATATGATACACATGAATATTCTGCTGCTTATATGTCTGCATGCGTCAATAACAACGTGCCGTGCTGCATCTGGTTCTTCAGAGACTAGGGTTGCTGGTAGTCTGCCTTCGTTCGTGTGGCTGTTCTGCTTTTTCTCGATCAACCGTCCTTTATTTGGGTTGTGTATGTCTTCTCTGTGACTCTCGTGTTGTGTTATTTCTATCAGCAAGAGGCCCTCGTAAAGCTGCACCTGCTGGGAGAGGGCGGCCCCCGTGGTAACGTGTCAACTCCCTTGGGGGCCTCTGCCATGAGTGTGCAAGATGCTGAGCAGCACCGGCAATTAGAAGAAGCAACAAAGACAGCCCAGCATCTGGCTGCTCATTTGCGAGTTCAACACGAACTAAAACAGAGAGAAATGGAAATCAAGCAAAAAGAAATCGCCCACCTCAACCTCCTCAAACACATGCAAGTCCTCATGCAGTCAACCGTCTCCGGAATTTGGGGGAAACTCACAAATGTAAGCGCAGAGAAATGTACTGCCTATCAGAATGCATATCACGTGCATGGCTTACTGTTCAGTAGAAACAGCAATAGCAGCAGCAGCAGCAAGAGCAACAGCAAAGGCAGCAAAGGTCGACAAAAAACCTTGCACGGAGTGTGGTATTCTTGTCCTAGTAATTAGGGTTTGTGTCTTCTCTTCCTATTGCGTTGAACTTATGCTTTTAGGTGCAAAATACTTTGAAGCGCCTCGTATCAGAGAGCGAAGACGTAAACAAGCTATTTTTGAAGGAGACGGGCAACAGAGTGTTGAGGCCACAAGAAGTTCCCGAAGCGGAAACTTCAGAAAAAGAGCAGAGAGAACAAATGATGATTGCCAAAAAGACAGGCAAATCTCCCTTAGACTGCCCCATTGGTACGTCGGCTAAAAGGCGAAACAGACAACAATATCTGCACAAATGTGTAGCACTGTTTGCTTGCGCTTGTTAGCATATTCATAAGAAGCTGTTGCATCCTCTTTTGAAGCCTTAGAGAACTTCAGGATGTCGCATGCATGCTGCATTGCTGTACTTGCTGCCTTCTTGTTGATTACTTGAAGAAAAGATGCTACGTGCCAAACAAAACAGGCGCCTCCCCCTTGGACACTCCTGTGGGTGGATTATTTTATGGATTTGCGCGTTTAGATACTCACCTAAGAGCTTCTAGTTTCTCTTTTCGCTGTTGTGTTTATCCTGATTTTTCTGCAGAATGCGCCCCCAGAAGCTGCGACAACAAGCCGACCACCCCCACTCATTGCTTTGTAAGTAAAACAAAACGTAAAACAAGATCCACCTCTATGTTAAGGTCTGTTGAGTTTATTTATGTTGTGTTTGTTGCTCATGTGATCCGCGGGGGCTTTTAGTACCTGCCCAGCGAACAATACTGCAACCTTATTTTACTCTTATTTTGTGAAGTGTATTTGCATACACTTCTTAGCACGCATGCGTTGGTCGACATAGAGCACCATCATCTGTTTCAATGCACTGTTTGGTTTCTTTGAGCAGTATTCATTGACAGAGAGGCAGTACACTCTCGTTTCTTGCAGTTATTCACTTGTTTGTGTTGTGTGCGTGTTTGTGTGTATTCTAAAGAGATACGACCTTGTGGCTGGAGGCGGCGGCTTTAGGACTTGTGCACCTTTCCAAGATGAGGCAACGGCTACCTGTCCTGAGGTAAATTCTTCTTTAACCTGCACTAGCTAACTGCTTTACATCTTCATTGTCGTTTATAGATTCCTTTGCGCCTACTGTACATGTATATTGGGTCCTAAACCCCCATTATTGGTCCGTTTTAATGCTGGGACAGTGTGCTTTGTCTGTGCTGCCTACGTGACAGCATGCATCACAGTAGAGCCGTATGCTGTACGTTATCCTTGTGCCTATACAATCTAATGTTGCTGAATTATGTACCAATTGAAGAAAGTATAAACCCGCCTGCTGTGTGGCATTTTTTTCAGTCCTACACCCGATGTGCCATGGCTGCCCCTGTGCGAGGACGGGAGTACGAACTTCTGGTGTCTGTAAGGCGAAACCTAAACTCCCTTGCAAGCAAATAGCTAGAAATGAAGCAATAAAACAGTCATAGCCACAACAGAAAAGGATTAAATCATTACACTGCGGAGTATTAACAGCCAATGAGGCTCGGTAATATATGAATATAACACTAACGATTTCCCATCCTTGCTTCTCCGCTTCCTTACTAGCTGTCTATTAAAGTGATATTTGCTTTGCTTCTCCTTGTATTTCTCCCCTTCTAGGGGAGTCCCTGTGCTCACATATCTGTGTAGCGGACACACAGAAACAAAACACTAATAACACCAAGAATACCACTAATTACAAGAACAGCAATAACAGAGGAGACTGACAATAATACGAACCGGGGGAGACTAAGGGAATAACGTCTTTCTTGTTCTTGTACTTCCTTGCAGCCCCCCGACAACCCTTTGCCACAGGCGTTGTTTATAAAAGGCAGCAACATGCACAGTTGTTTGCGTTTGCTGGCCGTACACGAGAATACCCAATGCAAGTAAGAACAAGACAAAATAAAAATAGACAGAAGCATCACATTTAAGCACAAACAAATGGGCGCGCTCGAGTTAGTGGGCGGGCTTTAAGGGTTTGTGTGTTAACCTTCCCCATTCCCTTTTTCTTCCTCTCTTTACTTCAATAACAGAAATAAAGATGCGTTTCCTGTTGTGTATTTACAGCCCAACAGACCCAGAAGCCGTTTCCGCCTTCTTAAAGGATACGCAAAACACTTCTAAGATGCCGCCGCCAACAGTATTGACTGGTGGTGTTGTCTTCGAGAATATTGAGGTAGCATACCCACATAGCCCTAAAAATAAAAAAGAAAAATACATAAAAGAAAACATTTAGACACCTACAATTCGGCTAATTAATTAGATATATACTTTAAGAACTACTTAATGGCTTTTAACGAGCATAGACACCCCTCTAGAGTTCTTTTCTATTCTGTTCTCTTTTAATGTGTTTGATGTGATGCATGCCCGCGCCTTCCCTTATGCAGATAGCTCTACTTATTCTTTGCATGCAATATTTCCTTTGCAGACACAAATAAGTGCTTTTCTTCTCTTTCCTAGCTACTTCGTGCTCTTTATTCTGTGTTCCCTCAGATACCTAAACCCGGCCGCTACAAGCTGTGCCTGCTGCAGTATTGGATTCCCCCCAAGCGGGCTGCTGCAGCTGCTGCAGCAGCACCAGCAGCACCAGCAGCAGAAGCACCAGTAACAGCAAAAGCAGGTGTACCAGCAGCTGCAGCAGCTGCAGCAGCTGCAGCAGTACCAGCAGCAGATAAAGACCAGGCTGTAGTACTAGGAGCAGAAGAAATAGGGTATGTGCATGTACTAGAGGCCAAAGAAAGAAAGAAGGCGCCTAGTGAGCAGCAATCGGAGAAAGAGGCATCGAAAATCGAAGAGGAAACAGAGAAGGCAGTAAAGGAAGAAACAGAGGAGGAAAAGGCAGAAGCAAAAGAGAAGGAAAAAGCGGAAGGAAAAGAGGAGCGCCTCACTCCCAATGAAGAAGAAGAAGAGGAAGAACCCGAAGGATCATCAGCACAATCAAAAGAGCACAATGAATCAAAAAAGTCCCAGAAAGAAGAGACGCATGCAGAGAGTAAAGACCACCACAAGGCAACAGAAACAGAATCAGAGCATCCCCACAAAGAGGAGAAGCATGCAGAAAGCAAACAGTCCCATAAAGACGAAACGCATGCAGAAAGCAAACAGTCCCATAAAGACGAAACGCATGCAGAGTCTAAAAGCCAGCCCCATAAAGGGACGCATGCAGAGTCTACAAAACAGCAAAAGGAAGAAGAAGAGGAGGAGCATACAAAAGCTCAAAGCACACACTCAGAATAAAAGAAGAGAAAGAGAGAAAGGAAGAAGCATTTTTTATTGAGCTATTTCTTCATTTGTTTTATATTTAGCAAACCCTTTTTAGCTTGTATTGATACAAGAATAATGCTGCTGTATTTATACACTGCATACAAGCAGGAGGCGCCTCTTCCTCCCCTCCTTCCGCTCGATTTTTTGTATTTTATTTTAAAGCATTTGTTCCTTCGCTCTACTGCAGAAGCGGATAGAGCACCAGCCAACTCCTCGTTGTATAGGCAGCTCTGGCCCATGCGTCTTGTAGCAGTATTAATTTATATAGTAGGGTTTCTTTAGCTGCTCTGTCTAACTATCTAGAAGTGTACGCACACCCCGGGCTGTACATGGACCCAACAACTAGACCTAAAGACTCAATTCTGCCACCGCCTATCTCTAACGCTATCGAGCAACACAGGGCATCTACGTATACCCTGCTGCTGCTGCTGTTGCTGCAGTACACACTAGTTCACAAAACATGTAAACACTGTCCAGGGCTTCGATGGCGTATTTCGATGCTGTTATTGCTGATCGGATGTATGAGGAGTTTCTATTACAATGAGGCTAGTTTCCTGCTGCTGCTGCTGCTGCTGCCTCTTGCTAGCAGCAAGCAGCGGCAGCAGGAGCAGCAATTGCTGCTGCTGCGAAGGGCCTCATACACTGCATGCATGCACAGTGTTGCTGTTGTAAACCCTTTGGCAATCTAGAGAGACGGAAAAACAAAATGTCTGCTGTAAAACAACACCTAGACTAACAGCCCTAATCAACTACTAATGCATGTAGCTGCATGCACCAGGCGCTGCAGCAGCTGCAGCAGCAGAAGCTGTTATTGTTTACTCCTTCTTGGATGCAGTTGGGCTTGCTGCTGCAGCGCCTCCGTCTGTCTTTGCTGGGGGATCGGTATTTGCTGCTGCCTCTTCTTTTACCTGGTCATTGGGGGCCTCCAGCTGCAGCAAAACAAGACAGCAGCAGCAGCAACAGTCGTCCATCTCACAAGTCAACACGCAGCATCAGCAGCAGCAGTAGGGGGTGCTGCTGCTGCTGTGCAGACCCTCAAAATATAATTAGCTGTGAGGGGTTTAGGGTTTAGGGCCTATGTTGTCTATACCTCCTCTGGAGGTGTCCTCGCGTCGGTCATGAAATGTTCGACTTCTTTTGCATCTTCTGCGAATTCCCGCGCTAATAATTGCATGCATAATTCTGTAGGAGTAAGAAACAGGAAAGACAATTGAAAAAAACTCATAACAATGCTGCTTCTGCTGCTGCTGCCGCTCGCTTAGCTTATTACCAGCGGATATTCAAAGAAACGGGAAACACAAATACAATTATATTATAATTATAATTATTGTAATTATATTAAATATAATAATTATAATTAAAACAGGAAAACACAAGAAGAAACATACCTAACTCCCTTAGCTCATCATGCAGCAACTCGGCAGCGCGTTGCCGAATAATCTCATTGGGGTCCTCCTCAAGTACTTCTCCTGCTGCTGGTGCATCTGGTGCTGCTCCTTCTGCTGCTGCTGCTGCTCCCTCCCCTGCAGGTACTTTTGTTGCTTCTCCCGTTGCAGGTTCGCCTGCTGCGGCTTTATCTGCTGCTTCGCCTTTTCCTGCTGCTGCTGCTGCTGCTGGAGCTGGCTTGGGTGGCGGCGGCGCCAGCTTGCTCTTAAGAGCCTCTACTGCCATTTGGACTTGATTAAAGACATGAAATTGTCTTTCTTCATGCCTAAAGGAAAAGAAACAAAAAATAAGAAAAAACACCTTAAGGAAAAATATATTATAATGCAACAGCTATAGGCACCCATAGAGGTAAACACTCACGCAGTAAATCTCTAAACCCTAAACCCTAAACCCTACACCTACTCGTGCTGAATGTCCGTCAGCTGCCGCAGCAGACGGAGTTCTCTCTCCACATCCCGACAGTCGCGCCTGCAAGCACAGAAACAAACACCTAGACCCTAAACCCTATTGTCGCCATAAACCCTAAGCCCTTAATCAAGCGGTAATCTAAACCCCATTTACCCATGGTATTTTACCTTTCCTTTGTTTCGGTGGCGTCGGCCTCCCCTACTTGCTGCTGCTGCTCGCGATGCAGCTGCTGCTTCTGCTGCTGTTGCTGCTGCTCCTGCTGCTTCTCCTGTGAAACAGAAGCAAGGGTAGGTTCGCTCTCTGCAGATTCGTCTTCTGCGGCCTCCGGGTGTCTCTGCATCTTCTGCATCTGCGCGTGCTGTGCTCGTTCCTCCTACATGCACGCCAAACCACAAACCCTAAACCCTAAACCCTAAACCCTAATACCGGTTATGGGGTTTGGACACACGGAACAACAAGCACGGTGGTTTGGTTCTTTTTAGGAAAAACGTGAACATGAGAATTAGTAACAAAGAGGAAAAAGAAATAAAAAAAAGAAATAAAAAAAGGAAAAGGGAATAAAAAGAGGGAAAAAAGCACCTGTAGCAATGTTATTGTTTGTCTAAGAGATTCCTCCTCTTCCTTAAGCAGTTCAACTTGCTTCGTCATCGCCTCCAAGCTTGCTGAATAAAAAAAAGAAAAAAAGAAGGAAAAAAACTGAATAAAAGAGAATAAGCAATTAAATTTAATTAAAAATTAAACAATATACAAAAGTACAACAAATAAAAAGAAAGAGAAGAAGAAGTAACACAGACAACAACAAGAACAAATAACTCTAGACCCTGCAACACGATTGGGGCGGGCACCCCAGTCAATTTGCTGCTGCTTCTGCTGCTGCTGCAGCAAGGAGGAGTTTGCCAGCTGAGACTGGCACCGCTGCTGTTGCTGTTGCTGTTGCTGTTGCTGCTTGCTGCCTACCTGTTTTGCGAAGAGTTTCTGCTTCAGTATCAGCATCTGCAGCAGCAGCAGCAGCAGCAGCACCTGCTGCAGCTTCTTCTTCTTTCTTCTTGTCGTCTGCTGCTGCTTGCTGCCCTGCAACTGCAGCAAGAGAAATGCTGGGTTCTGCTGCAGCTTCGGCTGCACCAGCCGTAGCTGCTGCTGCTGCTGCTGTAGGCTGCAGTTGTGCTGCAGGCACCATGGAGACGCAGCGGCTCCACAGCAGCAAAATAGGAGGAACATCTCGGTGAGAGGAAACCTCCAGCCATTGCCGCATCTGCACCGTACACCACAAACCCTAAACCCTAAACCCTAAACCCTAATCCCCAAAGCTTTAACTCGTCGTACGAGCTGTATCAGCAGCACGATCACCAGAAACTATAGCAGCAGCAGTAGCAGCAGCAGCTGCAAGACCATTTGCATGTGCAGGTACAGCAGCAGTAGCCGTACGAGCACCAGCAGAAGTCGGCGCAGCAGCAGAAACAACAACAACAACAACAGCAGCAACAACAACAACAGCAGCACAGACCTGTTCCCTCATCTCGTCATCTGTTGTTTTATAGAATTTCATTCCTCTGTCTCTGCATGCCTCAACTAATTCTTCATGAGTTAAACTCTCTACTCCCTCCCATAGCAACTCCCTGTCTTCTCTTTGTATATGGTTAATGTGGTGCCTGCAGCAGCAGCAGCAGCAGCAGCAGCAGCAACAGCAGAAGGAACAGTAGCAGCAGCAGCGATAGTAGGAACAAAGCACGCACAAACACTCGGCGAGTATACCCATACAAATGTTACTGGTTTGCTGTCTAGGGTTTAGGGTTTAGGGTTTAGGGTTTGTCGAGGAGGCGCACCTAAGCTGTAAGACGACATGAGAGCGGACGCTGTAAGGCTGCAGCCCCAATAACTTGCACATAACCTGTACAGTTACCACCACCACAGCAGCAGAAAAAGCATGCTTTCCCTCTTATTCTTCACAGCAGCAGCAGCAGCAGCACAATGCACCAGGAGCAACAACAGCAGCAGCAGCAACAGCAGCAGCAGCAAGGTGTACCTGCAGAGTTTGTAGATCCATCTTCTCGAGGACGAAGTCGTCTTTAAACATACGAGAAAACTCCAACACTTCCTTTAATCTATACCACACCAACACAAGCAGCAGCAGCAGCAACAACAGCATAAGCAGCAGCAGCACAATCAGTAGCAGCATGAACAGCAGCAACACCAGCAGGATTAGCAGTAGAAGAAGCTGCACGACCAGCAGTTGCAGCAAGATAAGCAGCAGAAGCAGGATCGGAGAAAGAAGGATTAGCAGTAGAAGAAACACAAAGAGCATCAGAGGCAGCAGCACAAGCAGCAGCAGCAGCAGCAGCAGCAGCAGCAGCAGCAGCAGCAGCAGCAGCAGCGCTATATATGCACACCCTGGTAGAGGAAGTTTTTTATCATTGTTTGGTGTTACTAATTTTGATTGAAATGATTTTAAGGCCAAAGCCTTTGCTGCTGAATCAGCAGCAGGAGTCTGCTCTATAAGGAAAAAAAACAAAGAAAAAAAAAAAAACATAATATAAATAATATAATTAAATAATTAAATTAAATTAAATAAAAAGAAATAAAAAGAAATAAAAAAAAAAAAAAAAGTACCAATAAGTTGTCTTGTATGCTCCTGCAGCAACTCCTGGAAGAAAGCAGCTAATTCTTGTTTTGCCTGCAGCTTGCGGCTAAGGAAGGCATGATCAACATTCCTGTATACACAACAGCAGCAGCAGCAGCAGCAGCAACAACAACAGCAGCAGATGCAGCAGCAGCAGCAGGTGCAGCAGGAGGGCGAAAGGCAGGTGCAGGAAAAGTGGAGTGAGATCATGCAGGCAGCATTAACAGGATCAGCAGTAACAGCAGCAGCAGCAGCAGCAATAGGAGCAGCAGCAGCAGGAGCAGCAATAGGACCAGCAGCAACAGCAGCAGCAATAGGAGGAGCAGCAGCAGCAGCAGCAGTGACAGATTGCAGGTATCACTACAATAACAACAATAAAAGGAATAATAAGAAGAGTAAGAAGGAGGGAAACAGGAATAAGAAGAAAAGTAGTAATAATAATACGAATATAGATAGATAAAAAAATAGATAAATTAATAAAGAATAAAATAGGAAGAAAAAAGATAATAAATTAAATAAAAAATAACTAAATATATAAAATATAATATTACTTTTGTTGGAAGGTAGACGGTAACATATTAGGAAAAAGACGAAGAGCAACAGGAATAAGAAGTTCTCCAAGAGGTACAATTATTAATATAGAGAAAGGAATTAATTTTAGTGCATCTGCTGTTGTTCGTACCTAAAAAAGAAGAAAAAAATAATTATTTATTTATTTTATTTATTTTATTTAATTTATTTATTCTTATTTATTATATTTATACTCATATTACTATATAATTAACAATAAAAAGAAAAATTATACATTCAATCGTAGACAATACCTAAACCCTAAACCCTAAACCCTAAACCCTCAACAAGGAATATAAACACTAAACAAAATATATAAATAAATAAATAATAAATAAATAAATAAATGAATAAATAAATAAATAAATAAATAAATAAATAAGACTTACAAGTAATTTATGCTCATTATAACGTAAAGGATAACCTAATATTTTTTTCTTTAATAGTTGATGAGACACCCGAACATTTGCAAAAAATAAACGAAAGCCCGTCATACACCAACGAATTGTATGAAGAGTTGCTGGAAAAAAAAACATAAACCCTAAACCCTAAACCCTAAACCCTAAACCCTAAGCCCTAAACCCTAAACCCTAAGGAGTAAACCCTTATAAGAGTAAACCCTAATGCCCGCCATACACCATCGTATTGTATGAAGAGTTGCTGAAAATACATACACCTTTTTGTATTTATTTATTTATTTATTTATTTATTTATTTATTTATTTATTTATTTATTTATTTATTTATTTATTTATTTACCTTCTTTTAGATGTTGGTACCATTTCTCTGCTACCCGAGGGTTACGAATAAACTCCGCGGTGTATACACAAACACTACGAACAAAACTGCAGAAAAAAAGAAGAAAAAAAAAAGAAAAAGAAAGGATCTATTTTATTTATTTTATTTATTTTATTTATTTTATTTATTTTATTTATTTTATTTATTTTATTTATTTTATTTAAATTAATTTAATTATTAAAGGAAAGAAAATACACACACATATCGCACAGTTAAATATCCTAAACCCTAAACCCTAAACCCTAAACCCTAAACCCTTGATGGATCTCTCGCATGCGCATGCATACAGGATAAGTTTATTGTATGGAGTAACAACACAGCGAATCTACGGGACCCCATCCATTTCTAGGGTTTAGGGTTTAGTAATTAGGGTTTAGTGTTTAGGGTTTAGGGTTTAGGGTTTAGGGTTTAGCTGACCGTGCTAATAATTTGATGAGTTTATGACTAATCTTTAGCAAAACCCTAAACACTAAATTAAAAGAACGACAGATAATATAAACCCTAGATGATCTTCTATCTGGCTTCTGCTGCTGCTGCTGCTGCTGCTGCTGGTGATGGTGCTGCTGCTGCTGCTGGTGATGGTGCTGCTGCTGCTGCTGCTGCTGCTGCTTGGGGGAGTGGGGAGGACCGGTCTTGTCTGATGGTGGGGTTGAAGAGGTACCAGGGGTTTGGCCTGCTGCTGCTGCTGCTGCTGCTGCTCTTGCTGCTGCTGCTGGATCTGTTGATGCTGCTGCAGTGCTAAGGAAACGCCACTGATTATTGGAGACACCTGTAAGGCCCACGGACAATAAACCCTGTTGCTGCTGCTGCTGCTGCTGCTGCTGCAGTAAGCGCTGCAGCAGCAGCGAGGAAGATCGCCAATCGGCTGTCCTGCTGTGCGCTTTTGCTGCAATTGCTGCTGCAGAAGCTGCTGCAGAAGGATCACCTGCTGCAGCAGCAGCAGCACGAGACAGTGCGTGCTGCAGGCTGCAGCTGAGAGGCCGCCTATAATATTTGCTGCTGTCACTAGCTGCTAAAAGAACTGTGTGGGGAAGGGGCCCCCGCGGGCCCCTGGGGCCCCCCTGAAGAAGGGGGCCCCTATTTCGTTGCATGCATGATGAGTACTGAACTTCTGATGGTTTGTCTAAAGAGAAGCAGGAAACACCCTCTGCTGCTGCTGCTGCTGCTGTTTTTGCTACCGCCGCTGCTGCTGGTGCGGCTGCACGGTGGCGGTGTAGCGCTGCAGCCCCCGCCGAGGCGGAGCGTGCCACTGTTGCTGCTGCCGTAGCTGCTGCTGCTGTTGTTGCTGCTGCTGTTGCTGTTGCTGCTGCTGCTCTGCAGCGGCAGGCGAGGGCTGTCTGCATTGTGTTTATGATTTTAATGTGTCATAGGAGAAATAGGAGGCACAAAACAAAGAAAAACCCCCGAAGGCTGAGGGGGCCCCGCCGCTGCTGCTGCTGCGGCGGCTGCAGCTGTTGTGTACGGCAGCAAGAAGCAGCAGCTTTTCCTCAGCAGAAGAAATACAACGATAAAGAAGATGTTTGCCTTTATAAACTTATGTGCATGTTTCAAATAATTATGTGCTGCACAGCAACAACTGCAGCAGCAGCTGCTGCTGCTGTGCTGCTGCGTGTGGCTGCTGCTGTGCTACTGTTGCTACTACAGCTGGCTAAGGTTTGCTGCTGCATGCAGCAGCCGAAGGATCGGCAGCAGCAAGGGGTTAAATGCATTGAAAACACCGCAAATATTAATTAATTTATTATTATTTATTTAATTAAAATAAAAGTAAATAAAAATATTTATAATTTATTGTTTGTTTCCCTCTTAATCGGCTGTTTGCATGCGTGTGAGTCCACCGCTGTAGGCTGCAAAAAATTAGGGTTTAGGGTTTAGTGTTTAGGGTTTAGGGTTTTTAGTCTACTAAGGAGTAGGTATTTGTAGGTGTATATACATGTGATGGATATATTCTTGTCTTTGTTTATATATTACACAAATAAATAGAGAAGGAGTGCAGCAGAAGACACTGCATACATGCAGCAGCACTAACAGCAGCATTTCCCTCTGCATGCGTGCATGCATTTGGGGCTGCACATTAATCGCTATCAGGCTGTATCATCAGGGGCAGCAGCAGCAGGAGCAACCCCCCTTGCTGCAGCAGCAGCCAGTTGCTGCAGCAACACACCTTATTGCTGCAGTAGCTAGCTGAGGGAAGAGCCCAGCCTGTCTTGCTGCTGCAAAATACGTAGTCTTGCTGCAGGGCATGCTGCTGCTGCAGCAACAGCAGCAGCAGCAACCTTCACTGCCCCACCCCACACACTTCTCTGCTGCTTGCTGAAACGTACTATATTAGCAGACTCCTGCAGCAGCAGCAGCTGCAGCAGCAGCAGCAGCTGCAGCAGCAGCAGCAGCAGCAGTCCCCCTTCTTCTCCTCCCGTGTATACCTCAGGATAAGCAGTGTTTCCCTTTTGCTGTTTCTTAGCATCAACAGACAATCGATTTACTCTCACAGCCGCTAAACCCTAAACCCTAAACCCTAAACCCTAGACAATAAGGAGAGCACCGGCCTTCTTGCGCAGCAACAGATCGTCGTTGTTTAGGGTTTAGGGTTTAGCCTAACCCAATAAAAATAGTGTATTATTAACTGCTGGCTGGCTGACAGTCCTAAACCCTAAACCCTAAACCCTAAACCCTAGCGGGAGTTAAGATATTCACTATATATCTTGCTCTCTCTATATTGGAAGGCCTGGAGAAACAGCAGCAGCAGCAGCAGCAGCAGCAGCAGCAGGAGCAGCAGCAACGGCAGAAGCAACAGCAGCAGCTAGCAGGCAATAGAAGATAATGCCACTAATGAAGTTAAGCACCCTAAGCCCCATCCTAAACCCTAAACCCTAAACCCTAAACCCTCGATATTGAATGTCAATATATTAATAATAAACCGCAGTCTCTAAACCATAAACCCTCGCCCTCTGAGGGTTTAGGGTTTATCCATTAAAAAGAAGTAAATATTCCTTATGTCTTCTTGTTATTTGCTGTGTCTGCTGCCACTAGCTAGCTGCCCATACACCCGAATAGGGGCCCCATACAAGAAGAGAAACAAAACCCTAAACCCTAAACCCTAAAAGCGGCTAATATATATATAAACACAATATACACAATCAGGCAAATAAGCCCGCGGGGATCCGATCCCATTAGGATCGGATCCCCATGCTGGGATCGGTTCCCCACACCTGGGGATCGAACTACCTACCCAGCTGGGATCGGATCCCCATGCTGGGATCGGTTCCCACTGCTTAATAATTAATAAACAATACTAATCGGATCTCCCTGCTGGGATCGGTTCCCCCAGTGGGGATCGGATCCCTCCGCTGGGATCGGTTCCCTCAGCGGGGAACCGATCCCCACCTAACACCGTCTCCCCCCAAACCCTGCGGCTGGGATCGGTTCCTCCACAGCTGGGATCTATTTCCCCACCCCAGCTGGGATCGGATCCCCCACACAGAGCCGGGATCGGTTCCCCACAATTGGGATCGGATCCACCCCACAGCTGGGATCGATTCCCGACAGCTGGGATCGGATCCCCACCTAACATTAACTTCCCCTCCCCACAACCAGCTGGGATCGATTCCTCCAGCTAGGATCGGATCCCTTCCCCATTACTGGGAATGGATCCTTTCTCCATAGCTGGGATCGGATCCCCCATAGCTGGGATCGGTTCCCCATAGCTGGGATCGGTTCCCCATAGATGGGATCGGATATATATATACAATAAGCAACAAATAAGGAACGAGTTGTGGGGTCGATCCCCGCAACTCCCTTCGATGCATGCAAACCAATAGAGGCAGCAAGGCCCCCAAATAAAATGCTGCTGCTGCTGCTGCTGCTAGCGTTGCTGCTGCTAGCCCTGCTGCTGGTGCTACTACTACTACTGCTGCTGCTGCTGCTCATGGCGTGTGCAGCTGCAGCTATTGCTCTGTTGTAGCACCTTTTCTGCTGCTGCTGCTAGCTGCTGCAACGCTCCTGCAGCAGCTGCTGCTGCTCGCTGCAGCAAACATACTGTTTGCTGCAGCTGCAGCTCATCTCGTCATTAACGCTGCTGTTGCTGCTGTTGCTGTTGCTGCTGTTGGTGACGATGCTTGACGTTATCATTGCTGCTTTCGTCTCTGCAGCAGCAGCTGCTGCTGGTGTTTGTTTTGCTGCTGTTGTAGCTGACCGCTGCTGCTACTGCTGCTGCTGCTACTGCTGCTGCTGCTACTGCTGCTGCTGCGGCTGCTGCAGTGCAGTGCTGCTGTGCTAAGACAACTTAACTTCATTTGTGTTCCTTCTGCTGCTCTCTGCGGTGTTGTTGCTGCTGCTGCTGCAGCTGCTGCTGCTGCCAGCGCTGCTGCTCCCCCTGCTACCATTGTTGCTGCAGTTGCTGCTACTAGCGAACACCTGCAGCAGAGTGATCGCAGAGGAGGCGCTGCTGCTGTTGCTGCTGCTGCTGTTGCTGCTGCTGCTGCAATTGTTGCATCGTTACACGAAGCATTCAGCAGCATATATCGGAAATGTATAGTGCAGCAGCAGCAGCAACAGCAACAGCAGCAGCAGCTGCTGCTGCTGCGACTGCTGCTGCTGCTGTTGCGCATGTTGAACTCACACGCACATCGGCACAGCAACTGCAGCTGCTGCTATTGCTGCTGCAGCAGCAGCAGCAGCAGCAGCAGCAGGTATTCATGCTGCAGCTGCAGAAACTGCTGCAGCTGCATCTCTTATTGTATGACTATTGTAGCTGCTGTTGTATTTGCTGCAGTTGCAACTGCTGCTGCTGCTGCATCTGGATGTGCATCTGCTGCTGCTGTTGCTGCAGTTGCTGTTGCTGCTGCTGCTGCTGCTGCAACATATTGCTGCTGCTGCTGCTGCTGCTGCTGCTGCTGCTGCTTAATATATTATTCCTTTTTGCTCTCTTGAATTTATCTAATAATGCTGCTGCCTCTATCTGCAGGCAGCAGCTAATATGCCTAGCAGCAACAACATCTTGCTGCATTTGCTGCCTGATTTGCTGCAGTTGCTGCAGTACTTGCTGCTGCTGCTGCACCTGTTGTTGTTGTTGTAGCAACACCTGTTGCTGTTGTTGTTGACGCTCTGCTGCTGCTGCTGCTTCTGCTGCTGCTGCTGCTGCTGCTGCATCCTCTGGGTAACCAAAGGATAACCTACTAAATTCAACATTTAGCTGCTGCAGCCGCTGCCGCAACTTTTGCTGCGCTGCTGCTGCATGCAGCACATGTGCACGACTTGCTGCTACTTGCTGCTGCATCTGCAGCAGCAACTCATGATGATTCTCCTGCTGCTGTCTTATACTACTTATACTATTCTTTACCTCTAATTCAAATGCATGCAGCAGCTCCTCTTGCTGCTCCTTCTCCTTCTCTTCCTCCTGCTGCTGCTGCTGCTGCTGCTGTTGCTGCTGTTGCTGCTGCTGCGTTTCTTCTCCTTTACTGCTGTTACCTCCATTGTCATTGCTGCTGCTGCTGTTGCTGTTGTTACCATTACCATTACCATTGCTGCTGCTGCTGCTGCTGCTGCTGTTGCTGTTGTTGCTGTTGCTGCTGTTGCTGCTGCTATTAGCAGCAGCTTTCATGATGATAGCAGTATCCCACATATGTGCTTGCTGCTGCAGCAGGACCTGCTGCAGCAGCAGCAGCTGCTGCAGCAACTCTTGCTGTTTATAATTAATCTTTCCTTTCCTGCATTGTATATCTCTTATTATGCGCAGCACTTGCTGCTCAATTCTTATTCTTTTTATTCTTTGCTGCAGCAGCAAAGATATTGCTGCTTCCTCCTCCTTAGATAAATGTATACGTGTTGTTAACACTGGCTTATCTTCCTGCTGCTGCTGCTGCTGCTCCTGCTCCTGCTGCTGTTGCTGCTGTTGCTGCTGTTGCTTCTGTTGCTGCTGCTGGTGGTGGTGGTGGGGTTGCTTGGTGGCCGGTTGTTGCTGCTGAGGATTTAAGTCCTGTTGTGTTCTATGCTGCTGCTGCTGCTGTTGCTGCTGCTGTTGCTGCTGCTGTTGCTGCTGCTGTTGCTGCTGCTGTTGCTGTTGCTGCTGGTTATGTTTATCATGATGCGTTTGCTTGTGCAGCTGTTGCTGTTGCTGCTGTTGCTGCTGTTGCTGCTGCTGCTGCTGTTTAGGGGCTGCATTTTCTTTGCCATTTCTTTGTAGGTGTTGTTTATTACTATGTTGCTTCTGTAGCGGCTGCTGCTGCTGCTGCTTCTGCTGCTGCTTCTGCTGCTGCTGTTGCTGTTGCTGCTGCAGCAGCAGCAGAGAGTTGCTGCTGCTGCTTGCTGCTGATTCCTCAGGACTTAGCTGCTTATGTAGATATCTTAGCTCAGATATTCTATCTATGTGGGGTCTCCTGCTGTACGTCCGCCTCTGCTGCTGCTGCTGCTGCTGTTGCTGCTGCTGTTGCTGCTGTTGCTGCTGGTGGTGGTGATGATGATGCTGCTGTTGCTGCTGCTGCAGATGCTGCTGCTGCTGCTGTTGCTGCAGCGGCGGAGGCAGCGGTGTAGGCAGCAAGGGACTCAAGGGAGAGCCACTAAGTCTCCTCCTCTCTCTTAGACCTGCAGCAGGCAGCAGCAAGCGTCTCCCTTCTAGCTGCGGGCCAGGCAGCAGCAACGATTGCTGCTGCTGCTGCTGTTGTTGTTGCTGCGGCTGCTGACGAGCTGGTGGCAACAACAGATCCTGCTGCTGTCGCTGCTGCTGCTGCTGTTGCTGCTGCTGCTGCATGCTCATGTGCTGTTGATGGTGCATATGATCTCTGCTGCTGGAGAAAACCGCACGCTGCTGCTGCTGCTGCAGCTCATGCTGCTGCTGCTGCTGCTGCTTCTGGTAAGGCCATGATGGTCCCGGGTGCAGCAGCTGATCAAGACGCTGCAGCTGCTGCAGATGCTGCTGCTGCAGCAGCAGCTCTTGCTGCCTCTGGTACTCCAGCAGCTGCTGCACTAAAGGGTGGGTATCATTGTACCCCTGCCATGGATCATTTGCTGCTGCTGCTGCTGCTGCTGCTGCTGCTGTTGGTGCTGCAGCACCAGCAGCAGCAGCAGCAGCGGCAGCAGCCGCAGCAGAAGGATCGGATTCCCAGCAATGTCTCCTGCTGTGAACACATTCCTCATGCAGCAAATGTTGCTGCTGTTGCTGCTGTTGCTGCTGTTGCTGTTGCTGCAATAGCAGCTGCTGCTGAGGTAGCAGCTGCTGCTGATGAATTGACGGTCCTAATTGCTGCTGCAGATGCTGATGCTGCAGGATGCATGCATCCTGCGAGTAATGCTGCTGCAGTCTCTGCTGCTGCTGCAGCCTGCGATGCTGTTGATGCTGTCCTCGCTGCTGTTGCTGCTGTTGCTGCTGATGCTGCTGCTGATGCTGCTGCGTCTGGCTTGGCGCCTTAATGGGCTCGCCCATGGGCGCAAAAGGGCCCAAATCTCCGCATCTACAGTGCATGCTAGCTTGCTGCTCGCAGCAGCAGCAGCAGCAGCAGCAGCAGCAGCATCCGTTAAAGGTGGTGCTATAGGGGTCGAATTAAGGGGGCCCTTAATATATAATAAATAGGGGGTAGGTATAGAGGCAAAAGAGAAGAAAAAAAAGGAAAAAAAGCAGAGAAAAGGAATTAAATAATAATTAATTAATTAATTTATTTATTTATTTATTAAATCCCTCCCCTCTTCTCCTTAGACACCTCATGGGGTGTCTAGGCACCTGCTGCGGGCCCGGCGGTACCAGCAACAGGGAAGGAGGGTAAATAAAGGAGTATAAATGTTATTAAAACGGTAAAAAAGAAAATAAATAAATAAAAAGAATAAAATTAATTATTATAAGAAGAAAAAGAAGGAAAAAAGCGCAAATATACACCTAAATATACCCACATAACACCCCCCCTTCCCTTTTGCTGCTTATATATATATTTATTAATATATATATATAACTAACCCCCCCCTTACTGCAGCAGCAGCAGCAGCAGCAGCAGCAGAAGCAGCAGCAGCTACTTCTACAGCTAAACAGACTGCTTTTTAAATAAACAATTAAAACAAACAAAAATATACACGAAAAAGGGGGGGGAAAACATAAAAAATAATGCATGCATGCAGAAAAGCCCCGCATAGTAGAAGGAGAGGCCCCCATGGGGGGCCCCCCTGTCTGTATACATACATAAGAGGAGGGGTATTTTCTTTGTTTATTATTTAATTAAATAAATAAAATAATTATTTAATTACGATTAATAGTATTTTTATTTATTTTATTCTTTTTTTCCCTCTTTTTTATGGTATATAATAGTGCACTAGGCAGCAGCTTGCTGCTGCTGCTACTGCTCCTGCTGCTGCTGCTGCACCTGCTGCATGCAAGCCCCACATACACGCATGCCTCCAAAGACATTGTTATGGATTCCTTGTTTCTGCATGCACTGTTTCTGCATGTGCTGCTGCTGCTGCTGCTGCTGCTGCTGCAGGCACTTCGCCCCCTTACGCAAGACCAACTGGAAGGGGGGAGGGTCACCTCGCCGCCGCTGCTGCTGCTGCTGCTGCTGCTGCTCCTTCTGCTGCTGGTGTTATTGCTGCTGTTGCTGTAGTTGCACGAGGGAAGCGACACTTTGTTGTTGCTGCTGCTGTTGCTGTTGTTGCTGCTGCTGTTGCCGTTGTTGCTGCTGCTATTGTTGTTATTGCAAGGGGGGAAGCGACCCCTTGCTGCTGTTGCTGCTGTTGCTGCTGCTGCTGTTGCTGCTGCTGCTGCTGCAGCAGCAAAGAAGCGTATCTTGCATGCATAAAAAGGGAAATTCAATTATTAAATTTAAGAAGCAAAGTAAATAAATAAATAAATAAATAAATAAATAAATAAATAAATAAATAAATAAATAATAAATAAATAAATAAAAAGGTAAATTGTTTATTAATAATTGCTGTGTTAATAAAAGAAGAGTTGTTTTTATATAAAAAGAAAAACTCTGTATATTTATATACATAAATATATACATCTATATCTGTATATGTATATATATACGTATATATATACGTAAATATATACGTAAATATATATATTTATTTATATATACACGCATATATATATGTATATAAATATATATATTGTATATATATATATATATATATATATT